GACATCCATCGCCACGGCGAGGGCCGGCACTTCACCGACTTCCCGGGCCGCAACAACAACGGGGACAGCAGGAACAGCAGCGAGGGCAGGAGCAACGAGAGCAGGAACGGCGAGAGCAGGAAGGAGGCCAACAGCCGGGAAAGCAAGACAGATGGTTTCGCCGTCCCGGAGCCCCCCAAACGGAAGAAGAGCCGGTGGGACAGTTAAAAGCCGGGGTTTCGCGGCCTGGAACCTCGGCAGGTAGTGTTGTCTTTTTCCAGAGGATTTCTTAGGGGTTTTTGGGAACTGGTTGTTGAGCAGCTGGGGGAGGAGGAGGAAACCACGAAGGCCCCCGTGCCAGTCCGGGCCGGTCCATCTGCGGCCAGACCCGCTCGTGACGTGCACACACCACGCATAGTCAGAGAAGTCACTTTGGTAAAGCTCCCTGGGCTCTGCTTTGAAACACTCAGTGCTCGAGTGACTCTGCTGGATTTAAACAGATCTTCTTGACAAAAGGAAGCTGTTCCACATCCTGGGAACATGGAGAAACTGTTGTCCATAGAAGTATAAATTAGTCTTTTCTTAACCAGCGTTCACATTTGCAAACCAGTCCAGCCCACCTAGAGATGCTCAGGACCTGCCTGGTAGACATTAATCCCTCAGCAGTTTGGTCAGTATGGTGAGTTCTTCCCCTATCTCCTCTTCACGTATTCTCTGATTCCCAAATAATTTGGCCTCCTGGTTGCCCTTTACCTCTCTCCCCATCAACTGAGAATGTATGAATTTGCATTGCTGAAGGTGGGATGGAGCAAGTTGATTTTTCTTTCCCTTTGTTTTATTTTTTATGGAGCTGTTCAAGGGATCCTTCTCCAGCCCAGCAAACCACAAATTCACATGTAGTGTAGGTTGGACTCCCTGGCTTGTCTGTGGTCAGTACATCAGTCCCAGTCCCATTGCCCAGGTATTTTTTTCCTTTCAAAGAACCTCTTCTTTCCTAATATCCTTCATTCTGGTGGAAGCCTGCATAGCAAACCTGTCTCTCTGCTGTGCCTATCCACCCTCTGTTCTGAGAGGGTTGAGTGCTTTCTTCAAATTAAAAGCAAAAAAAGGGAAAAGAGTGTAGATCCACCACAACAATCAGAGGCTGGAGCCCCCCAGGAAGCATTGCTAAAGGCAGAGGCTTCACTCAGAAATTCAGGGATCTGCTGCTCAGAAGCCTTTAGGGACAACCCAAAAAGCAGTGAATGAAATGGAACAGCTCAAATCTGGCCCCATATTGAACACATATAGGAAATCTGTAAAATCTTGCTTGCCCATTTTTAACTCGTGTGTATTATCCGTTTTTTAACTTGGTTGTTTGTTTTGTTTTGTTTTGTTTTTGCCACAAGGTAGGGAAGAACTTTTCTGTTGGAACATGTCAGCACCCACTGCTGGCTCATTTCCACTGGGAGAAGTATCAGAAGCTGTCAGGGTTTTGTGACATTGTGATGTTTTTCTTTATCAGCTGTGCATTTACTTTCTGCTTGCTCTAGTAAATGTTTTATTACTGGTACAAAAATATCCAGCATGTGCTTTTTTATTCTCCTCCTCCTCCTCTGGCTGCTCTGGCATGTGGATGGAGAACTGACTGCCTGGGGATTTGACTGTGTGTGTGTCTCTTCCACCAGGAGTTGTGGGTTGTAGTTGATAAAAGACTTCCTGTGGGTTTTTGTCAGTATCTTTCCCCCCCAAATTGTTTCACAAGCCCTGTTTTAGCTTCAAAGCCTCCCGGGGAATAGATTGTTCTCCACTTTATAAAAGGAAGGGATACAGCCCAGGACATGTGACTCATCCCAGCTTTTCATGGGGTCCTTGGCAGACCTGGAAAGAGAACTCGGCAGCAGCCTCATGATGTGACTTACATGGGAACTGACTTCAGTCAGGACACCAAGGGATTATTTGGGCCCCCTCACTGACAGCTCTGTCAGTTGGAGTTTTTTAAAACAGCTTCCAGAATTCCCTCATCACAGTCCAGGCAGGAGCCTCGTTGCCCTGGTCTGAGCTCTGCACATTTGGTGTTAAGACAAGTGTGTTCCAGGGCAGCTGTGGCAGGGGTTTGCAAGCTGTTGTGTTCCCCTCCTCACCCTGAAGGTTTATCACTCTGCACAATTAAAGATCAGAGTTTCAAAACAAAATACAAAAATAGCTCCATGGTCTGAAGCTGCCATCTGCTCCCTCCCTTCCCAGATCCCAGCTCGCTGCCACTGGGAGCTGGCCCCCTGTGAGGCATATGCTTGGGTTTCTCCCCTTCTTTTTAACACTTCCCTCTGCTCTTTGTAGGATTATTGAAATTCCTCACCCCTCTCTCAGCTACCAGGAGCCTCCTGGGAGTTGAGTGAGTAAATATTGAGCAGTGACAGAGAGCTACCAATGTCAGCTCTCAGGGCTGTGTCAGGTCCACAGGAGGGTTGATTCCATGCCCACAGAACAAGGGAGCAGTGTGAGCAGCATTCCAGCTGCCCTGAGAGGAAATCTTGCAGTGGCAACAGTGCTGGTGTCTTCCAAAGAGACCAGAGCACAGCCCAGCTGAGCAAATCCCTTCCAGGGAGCTCAGGTTGGCTTGGAAATGCAATCCTTGGCACTCTGCTCCTGTTTCTATGCCTACACATCAGTCCCCCCTCTGCCTGTTTTCCCCCTGCTGCCACCTCCCAGCTGTGCCCTTCCCACAGGGAACAGCACTTGGCTCCTTGGTTGGGAGGTGGTGCTGGTGTCCCTCACCCTGCACTGTCTTCTGGAGCCTTTAAACTGACAGAGAGTAGATTTAGATGGGATATTGGGAAGGAATCCTTCCCTGGGAGGGTGGGGAGGCCCTGGCACAGGTTGCCCAGAGAAGCTGTGGCTGCCCCTGGATCCCTGGAAGTGTCCAAGGCCAGGTTGGACAGGGCTTGGAGCAACCTGGGCTGGTGGAAGGTGTCCCTGCCCATGGCAGGGGGTGGCACTGGAGGATCTTTAGGGTCCCACCCAACTCAAACAATTCTGGGATTCTGTGATTTGGGTTGGAATGAAATGGGCTTTAAGGTCTCTTCCCACCCATGGTATAAACCCATAAACACGGTGTTTAATTCATCTGTTGCTGTGTCCACAGTGGAACACAAGGATGGAAACAGGCCAGACAGACTCTCTTTATTCGTTTTTAGCCTGCAGGGAGATGACAGGGCCACAACTCTTGCATGCAGGGGCTGTGAGTTCATGGATAGAGTGTGGGGGATCCAGGCATTTCCTGCACCCTTCCAGGCCATGGAACTTGTCCTGCCTCCCTCAGCCCACCATATCCCAGTGACTCCTGCTCCCTGTTCACACCATCCATGAGCTGGAGGTGAGTGAGGGCAGGGTGGGCTGCAGAAGGGCTCTGGGGGCACTCTGTGCTCTCCCAGGCTGGACAAGGCCAGAGCTGGTGCTCCAGAGGCAGGACTGTGAGCTTTGGAATTGGCTTTACACACGCTGGAGAGGTAGGAGTGAGCATGGAGGGTTGTTTCAAGATTTTGCATGCACAGACATCACATCAGTCACTTGCACGTGGAAGAAAAGGAGGTTTTTATGGCTCGTTTTAGGGCCAGGTAGGGAGGAGTGAGAGCTCATGGTCCCTTTGCACACTGGCTGTGAGGGAAAGGGAGCTGGGTTGTTCCAGCTGCTCTCCCTGCCCTGGCTCTCCATGCAGAAAGGAGCCCGCAGCGTGAGGATCAGCATCTTTCCAGGCACGGCTGGGAAACACGCTCGGGAAACACCTCGTTCGTTCCCTTCACAGCATCGTCTCCAGCTCTTTGGTGAGGTTGGG